CCAACCCAACAGACATTCTGCATCAAACGCTGTTCTGGAAGACGCGCTGGAGTTGCAGGGCTAAGGCGTTGGGGATCATAGGTCACTGGAAAACTACTTTTGGATCCAAATCTTCACTAGCAAAGGGCTTGCAGTCTAGAGTTTGAGGGGTACGGGTCCAAGGTTATCGAGCACCTTTCTCGGCCAAATCGGTATGCTTTTTGGTCCCGTTTTGGTACGGGCCTCTTACGCATGGCTTTTGAGTGTACCCGAGTGACAACTTTTCGTTTTTTGCCCTACAAGGAACTTGTGTAAGTGTCTTTGAGAGCTTTGCAAACCACTAGCCCCCTGAAGTCCAGCAATTGTGACACTTTACGCCTGGGCTGGAGGTGCACGCGGCGGCGAGGATAGCAGTTAGCCGGCACGCCAGCGGTGCCTCGGAAAGAGTTTGGGGAGGAGGGTGGACCAACACACTTGACACCTCCAAGCTCCCGCAGCCCGTGAAGACTCTCCCCAACTCAACTTCCCCAAGCTTCCCCCAACCACGAAGGGAAAGAAGGGGGCCAAGAGGCCGAAGTCCTGCGACGGAAGCACCAAGGCCTTGAGGTGAAATCCTTCGTTTCGCGGCTGGTGGACGTCTGCGATGACCCGATGGCCATCAAGGCATGTCTCCCCAAGTGGCTCTCAAGTGGCTATACATGTGTTTAGGCTTTGCTATGCTGGGTTGAAGGGTTGAAGCCTTGTTGAAGCTTGCAAGCTTGGGGTTGAGAGTTGCTTTGGCCTGAGTGGCGTAAGTGGCGTAAGTGGCGTAAGTGTTTGGCAATCAGGGCGTGGGTTTTGGTGATGAGCTTGTTTGATGGCTTGAGCAAGGTCTTGGTCGTTGCCGATACTGCCCTTGTTGTTGATATTTTTGAAATGTAGTTTTTGAAGGTTCCACTCTGATTCCGATGGCAGCCGGGCATGCATCATTCATGTGGTGTTATCGTGCGTTGCCTTCGGACGTCACTCGTAGTGGGCCCATCGGGCTTCTATGGGCTTCTATGGGTTCGGGTCCAAGCCCATAGTCCGTGCGGCGCCAGGGACAACACACCCATGTCGGCTGCTGGTAACGTTTGCAATTTAAGAGTGAACGCACGTTCAAATCTTCCGAACGGCCCAATCAAGTTTAAAAGAAATGCTGAATGTTCGATTAGAGCTGGATGCTCCTGGTTCACAAAAGTACGTGCAACACAATCCCGGACAATGCCCAGAAAGAGTTCGCAATCCCTTCTTGCTAACATGCAAGACCCGCATCTGGCAATGCAACAGCTCCACTTCAGAACCCTAAACCCTGAACCCTGAACCCTGAACCTAAACCTCAACCCTCAACCCTCAACCCTAAACCCTAAACAGGAGAATTTGCTCTTCGTGATCGACTCCATTATGCGGCACGCAGAGAAGGAGGACGGTAGCGTAGTCAGTGTCCCAGACTTGTTGTGTGCATGAGATTGAGCATATTGCTGAGGGCTTTGTGTTTTTTCTAGAATTCAGATGTGTAGGAAGCCCAGATAGGGATTTGGGTTCTCCGGCTTTCGGTTCGGCTATGTACGTCGGCCTCAAGCTACGTAGTCGACAGCATGAAGGTCTTTTTTGTCTTCGAACTTGTTTTGGCTGTTGTCATGAAAGACCAGCATCTATCTTTTGTGCAAGAAGCCCCTCAACACATAAGACGACATTCCTTTCACACTGCATCTCGACCGGGCGTTGGCAGCTCTAGCGCTTGAGGGCTAGGGTTTTGGAAAGTTCTAGGGGTTTGGGTGGTTGGCTTGGCTAGGACTTTGAGAGGTTCGAGAAGTTTGGGGAGTTGGGGGGTTTGGGGATGGAACGTGTTTCTGGCTTTGAGTTGTTATCACGTGTTGTTGCTTTTCGTGGAGGCTTGTACGCACGTTTTAAGCTCGACTTCCGTCAGAGGGCTCTTGGAAGGAAACTCGGTTCTTTCAGGTTTTTCCTGGCCTTTGTCAACTGCTAGTGATTGTGCAGGTGTGGACCCAAATCCTAGCAAAGCCCTTGTCCTCCGAGGTCAAAAAGTTTGAGAAGGCTTTTGCCCCCCATCTCTTCACGCTGTTCGGTGCGTGCGTGCAGAGCCACTTGGCTTGAAATTGGAGGGCTAGAGGCTTTAGGTGCCCAAGCTAGTGCAACTTCCAGGGACTAGCCTCCCAACCTTTGCCTTCATGTTCGTGTCTCACCCCTTATTCTTCAACCCTGCCCAGGCATCTTGCAAGAGGGCAAAGGGGGGGGGGGCATGTGTCCAAAACTGACTCTCACGAGGGTCACCAGTATCACTTCCCTGCCATTCCTGGCGTCTTTCGGGTCTCATGCCCCGGTCTGTTCAGAGCACCTTGGCAGTTCGGTGCCGTCCGTCCCTCGGGGGCTTTTGGAGGTTCCTTGAGGCTTTGGCGACGGGGATGGCGCAGATGGCCCTCAATCCCTCGTTGCCGGCCCCTTGTGTGTGGGTTCATGTGAGAGCAGGGTCTTGAAAGCCCAGCCTCACCATGCACTAGGGTCTGGACTCCATCGCTATTGGTTCGCGTGGGTGCCTGCGCATGGGTGCGCATGGGTGCGCATGGCTGCGCATGGCTGCTCATGGCGGGGCAGGTCAATGTGCGGGTGCGTGTGTTCTTTCTGCATTTCATGCGTGCTCTTGTGATGCGTGTGTGCGTGTGGCGGTGTGTTGGGCCCATTCTGGCCCGACATGATGGCTACCCCTGGGGCCAACTCGAACCTGTTGTTCGTCACAATATGATCCACCAACAACGTGACTAAGAAGTCACTCTCGCCACGCTCCCATATGATTAGGCCAACAATAAGCACAGGTTCATTCCAGCACATGTCCCTTCCAAGACAGTCTTTTCGAGTGGATCGTGCCGTGCCGCTGCTCAAGCCGAACCCCAGTCCTCACTCAATGCTCCCGTCTTGCTCCCTTGCAACATGTTCCTGTGCTTATCAGTGGAATGCTTCCGTGTTTTGAAGTTTATCCTCTCCTATTGCTATGAAGATACAGCATCTCGCCGCATCAACATCTGCTTTTCGGAAGCGTGGGCTACAGGTTTTGCCGTCCCGAGCTGCTTGTGAGAGAAAGTTTACGAGTCTACGCTCAGGGTTTGCCAGCCAGTCAGTCAAGAAGAGCCCTCCTCAGGCTTCAATGCAAAAACCCACGGGGTTGCTACTGGTGTGACCGTTTTGGCCGCACAAGCGGTATTCTCTGCAATCCTGGAAGATAGTGTGGCATGCCATTTAGGGGAGTTCGGGGCTGAGAGCTTCCAGGGTCTCTGTTGGACTACCGAGGTGCCAGTCTATGAAGACGTGCAGTTTCAATGGCTCCTAGCAGGGTGTCATGTGCTTACCCTACACCCTAAACCCTAAACCCTAAACCCTAAACCCTAAACCCTAAACCCTAAACCCTAAACCCTAAACCCCAAACCCTAAACCCTAAACCCTAAACCCTTTGGTTGCTTGGATTAGGGTTTTGGGGGCATCTGCTCTGCAGCGCGCTCAGGCAGCACAAACAGGCCGGGCCTGGGCGGCGCTTTGGGTTGCATCTTCCGACCTTTACAGTTACCTTTTTAGTCGCACTAGGTGCATTAGTTCCAGGGCCATGGCCTCTAAGCCCAAGCCATCATAAGGCCAAAGACTTTCTCGCATTACAGTGCATTTCTCAACCCGAAACCTATGTGCCTCACGCTGCTCTGGGCTCGCTTCAGGTCGGGCTTTAGCTTTTTGGTGTGTGTTGGGTGGTCCGGGGCTAGGCTTCGAGGACTTCGGAGGGCTTGGGGAACCAGAGCTGAAAAGCTAGGAGAAGTCAGGATCTCGCCTACAGGCCCTAAAAGCTCCGACAGTAATGCGCTCATCAAAGCCGTAAAGCCGTGGCAGGGTGGAGGTGGCCACATACCTCCTCAAGAAGCTAGCCGCCGGCCCAGAAATGCCATCAGTGTAGGGCTGGGTTTAGGGTTTAGGGTTTAGGGTTGAAGGTTTAGGGTTTAGGGTTGAGGCTTGAGGGTTGAGGGTTGAGGGTTTCGGGGGCTCTTTCTGTTCAGGCTTTGGAGTTTGTGGGTTCGGGCTCCAAGTCTTAAGATGGGGTTTGCGCAAGCGGAGGCGAGGTTTACACAGCTTTGAGCCGGGCAACGGCTCCTTTACGCTCATGGCGCTTTCTTCGGGTGGCTTTTGTGTGCGGCTTTTCTCATTATGCTCAACGACAACTGCGACGGATGCAGCAAGATCTTTGGGAACCCCTCCAACTAGGGAGAGCGAAAGGGCCATCGCAAATTTCGGGTTGGCTTGAGGATTTCATCTAGATCCGAAGTGGATGTTCCTTGTGACTACGGTGCCTTCCTTTCGATGGCTGAGAGAACCCACGAAGACTTCTGCAAACGAAGAACGTTTGCCGCGAAAACTGCTCAACTCATGGTTGGGGTGTTTCTTTGACAATGCTTCGGAGTCTGCTGAAGCTGGAGGTTGTGGAGACAGTCGCAGATGGTGAAGTGACTTACATCGGGGGAAACATTGTCGGCTGCCAGTGCCCGCTGCTAGATTTCAGACTTGCTGTAGCCCTCCCTTCCCTCCCCGTCAGTAGTTGCAGTCAAGGCATTAAATTAATGCCACCCTGCAAGCTGCTTAAAGCAGCCTCCTGCCAAACCGCAAAGCACCGCACACTTCCTAAACGAGCTGCAAAGAAAAGAACGAAATAGTGTAAATAAGGTTTGCTTAATTTGCAGACCCTTAAAACAAACAAAGCAAACCCATCCAACGGCCAAAAGCGTAAGAAGCACGTCCCTGCTACGGTCTGCTACATTTTCGCAACACAAAGCAATTCAAGCCTCAAAGCGCGATGCAGCCACTGGCAAACACACAGCAGCAAAGCAAAGCAGCAATTTAGCACGCCTCAAGCAACGAGCTCAGGTTTTTCTTTTGGGGCTTCTCCGTGCCAAAGCAAAAAGACCCGAAACAAGCGCCTTGCCCGGGCAAGAGTCGTAAGCCCACCCGCTGCGCAGCGCTCGTACCGCGAGCACCCTGAATCCTCTCATATTCCCAACGTTCATACTCCTAAAGAATATCCATATCACACGAAGCTGAGAAGCGCATGCACAGCTGAGACGCAGTGCAGTGCGCCATGCCTGGAAGTCCGAGTCAACGTCAAAGCGGCCGAGCTAAATCACGGCTTGCCCGAATTGGGCGTCGTGAACAAAAGTCCTGAATCCGTTGGCGGCATGCCTGGAAAACCCCAACATCCACACCAAGCCCCAACCCATCAAAAGGCATAGTAACCCCCAGGTCCGTCAAGTTGATGCCTCCAATCCAACAGGACTCTGCGTGAAAAAGCTTAACTAGGATCCGCAGCGCCTTGCGAACCAGACGCACCTGTACAGCCAAAGTCTGGTGCGGTTCCTTATAAACGATGGAAGCAGGATCAACCCAACTGTTGCTCACCGGGTCTTGGACCGGAAAGGCAACACCAGCCCCGACAATCCAAACCGTGAGCTCCAAAGTCGAAACAAGGCAAACCTGATCATGGTTGGCATCCTGCTCCAAAAGCAAAGCCGCGACACTCCTAAGAAAACCAGCTGGGAGCGCGGAGGGGGTACTATCAAGCAACTGCCTCCACCCCAGCGGGGTCAAATCCGAGAGCCTAAACTGTACATCAACCAGGGGCAAAGATATCTCGACGACATCTGGTGCAACAGGCTCAACCTCCGGACGCAAAGTTTGCTGTACATCTGCGATAGCAAAGAACATACTACGAAGTTGACGGATCACGTTGGCCTGGCGATCATACTTCTCGCCAATGCCCTCAAGGAGCTGCAGGAACTCCAACGATCTGCTTGCGTTTGCAACGGCCGCCACGGTGTCAGCATGCTGGTTCCACGTAGACACCCAGATCTCAAATTCATCAGTGCACTGATGCGGATCAAGATGGGAGGGAACATGTTGGATCTGTGCCTGCGCTGGCTCCAGCTGCTCCACCAGTGCGGACAACGTTTGCCACAGATCACCATTTTCTGCTTGCGCCGAAACATGCCCACCTTGAATGAGACCATTGATGCCGGAAGCGATGTGGTAGGCATCCATCCAAAGTGTTGCTGTTACTCGCCGACTGATGATCCAGCGAAGTGCGGCAATAGCGGCAGTCATTTCTGCTCGAGGAGTTGTCTGGAGCTGCCCGTGTAAGGGCCCACATGCAATGACGTCGCCCGTGCCAGCATGCACCACGCTCCACGCTGCAATCGCGCAATCTGCCATAGCGGGTTGAGTGCATGTCCCATCCGTGAAAATGTTCTGCCGGCCCAGCGTCGTTCTGGAAGACCAAAATTCCGCAGTGGTGTCGGCGATGCTGCCGAGCGCGACTCGGAAAGCAGTCATCTCCGGCATGCGCGGAACCAAGAGGTGATGCGTCAGACACACTGGCAAATTTGCCCACTGTTCCACAACTGATTGACAACGCTGCCTTGCCTGTGCATACAGAGGACAATCACAAATCCTGTGCTGGACATCATCGGGAACCTGGCACTCCTTGCACAACCCTGAAACCGTCAAATCAAACCTCCTATGTTGGGCAGGAAACAGGAAGGCCCCCGACTGGATCGCGGCAAGACGTGACGACTCGCGAGGAGTGAGGCGGCTGTGGTCAATGTGAAGCAGGGAAGGTTCGAGCCCGTCCAAGTCCACCATGGTCTTGCGGTGCACATGCTGCGAAGCGACATATTGGAGCCAAGCATGCTCCAAAAGCCTGATCAAAAGGGCTTGGGGCATGGACAACAAATGGTGAACCAGGCCTTCATGGTCCTGAAGAAGCGGAGGCTCAAGGATGCTCCAGCCCACCTGCCCCAACACTACCACCAACTTGGAGAAAGGACCCTGGTAACCGTCTCCAGCGTAACGATCCTGGAAAACCTTCCAGTCCAACAACAACGCAGGCTGTTTGAGTAGGACCCTGCGCACATCGACAACAGTGGTCTTGAGCTGATAGAAACCTGGGTCAGCCAGGCATGATGGAACAAGACTCAAACGTAGGAGGGCGCTCGATCCAGCTGAGTGTGATCGAATCGCTTTGACCGCAGAAGCACGCAGGCCAGACAAATGGGAAGATGCCAAAGGACATCCCGCAATCCCATGCAAGGCAAAGGCCCAGAATTTGTTGGGGAGGATCGCTAGCTTGGACGCTAAAGGGGACCTGGCGCGGCCCAAGGCCTGCCACTGAGGCTGCAACGCGTGTATGCGAGCAACCAATGCCGCGTTGCGCGTGGCGGCACAAAATGACAAAAATCCGCCAAGCTCCCTGGCGTGCTCCACAACGTTAAGTTTCATGGCCCTGAGAACCTTACGCTGTTCAGGATCAGTTGACCACACAAATGTCTTGGAGGAGTCAAGTTGCAAATCCAACATGTCGCAGCATGCGCCCATGGCGTTGATGCCTCGGGCGAGAGAAAATGCCTCAGGAGCCATGCCGGAGTAGTTATCAGCGTAGCTCAAAGCCCGCACACTTGGACAAAGCGCCTGCATATATGCATGGAACACCATGTTCGCAAGCAGCATGCCGATGGGACTGAGTGGGTCGCCTTCTGGGAATCCAGAGGAGCTGGAGACCCCTGGGCTCAGCGCGTCCCTCACCTTAAACCTTCGGGAAAAGCCTGAAAGGAAAGCTCGCCAAGGTGAGATCAGGTTTGGCGGAAAGCCAATCCGTGAGGCAATGCGCAGGAGTGGAAAACGAGGTAAGTTATTGAAGGCTTTAACTATGTCCGAACTAAATCCTGCTAGAGGAGATTGACCTTGAAGGCTGAGCTCAATCTGGCTCTGCAGAATGAACCACAGCTCCGTGGCCTCGCGATTCGGAAGGAATCCAAGGGAGTCTGGATCAACAAGGTTGGACAGCGCCAGAAGAGTCTGTTTTGCCCGCAACCCTGCCCAAGCACGGTAAATCATGCTGATCAGACATATTGGACGGTAGCCTTGGGCATCAGTGCAACCATTTGGCTTCACCAAAGACAGAACAAAGCCAACGAGGATCTGTTGCGGCCATGCCGCCTTGCCTGCCTCGATCAAGTGCAACATGTCTAGAAGCTGCTCAACTGCCGCAGTGGGCATGTTCAAAAGATCCGCTCGCGCCCAGCCGTCGGGGCCGCGCGCCGCACGAGAAGAGAACTTTCGAATCCTGCGTTGCCACTGTGCTACTGAAATGCGTGGAAGGTTGAAGGGGGACCTTGGCAGGAAGGCCTCAGCAAAAGCTAGGACCCGACGCCAATCCGCTTCACTACAACTAGCATGTTTCTGCCATCTTGGGGCCCATAGAGAAACGAATTCATCATGAATATCCGAGACATCTGCCAAAGTTTGGGCCTGCAAAAGCTCGGAATCCTCATGCAGTGGACATTCACCAGACAAGGTGCAAACTTCATCAGTGACCCGTTCAAGCCGTAACACGTGGCCATCAACTTGCCAGGTAGAGGAACCACGAAGGTCCAAAGGAGGATCCACATGCACCTGTCTGGTTTCTGGCTCAAACGCCAAAATGGCGTACTCACGATGGATTACAAGAGTGTCGACCTGAGGGGCAGCGGGTTTATGTAGGTCCTTGTAGAGCAGTTCTAGGGATTGCTGGTACTTCGCGTCCAGAACTTGTGCCCGCTTGCCGATGCTCCAGGATTCAAAACGGCGAAAGTTTTCCCGAAAGTCTTGAAAAATTGCAGAGGCCGTGTCTAGCCCCGGGAGACCTAGGGGAATGCTCGGAGGGCTACCTTGCAACTGAGTCGGCCGGCGCATCCACCAGGCGCAGAAGCCGTGTTGGAACCCTTTGGCGGAGGAAATTGCTCTCCACAACGAAGCTCTATACTCCAGTGCCCCTGGAGTTTGGCTGTTGGCCTGTAGTGCGTGACACAAACTTTGAAGTCTGCGCAGTTGCGCGAACCATCGCTTGAGCTCTTGGCTGATGAAATCATGACACAGCACCTCTTCCCCCGGACGACTTGCTCGAACCAGCGCAGAAGTGGCAGTCCGGCAGTCAGGCTTAGTGCGTTTGGACCGTCCGCGGCATGCTGAGGGCACCTGTCGGCCGGGGCGACCTTCAACGAAGCCATTCAGGCTTGATTCATATGTACGGGCAAATGTTTGCATCCACACCGTGGAATTATTGCTCTTCTGGACTGGTGGGAATGGGGCCTGGCGCCAGCCTGTGATATCAATGTCTTCCCACGGAAGTTCTGCTGGCAGTGGCCAGCGCAACTCATAGCCTGCCGAGTCAGGAACACTGAAAGAGGCGACAACTGTATCATGGTCTGCGAAGACCTGTGTGATCTGCACAGCTGACGCAAACGCTGCCGCTTCAGGGGAGACATAGATCATGTCACGCTTGGTAGCGTTTTTGCAAGTGTTCACTTCAAGATGACCCCACCGCGAAGCAGCTAGGGTTTGAATCTCAACCCAACCTAGGCTTCTCCAGACCTGGATTTGCTCTAAAGCATTCTCGTCCTGATTGAAATCACCCGCAATTACCCTGAAGCCAGAGCGACCATGAACAAGCTCCTTGGTCAGGCAAGCAAGCAGGGACTCGGTCCGAGGTTTGGCATCTGGATATGTTGGCCCAGATGGGAAGCCATACACAGTGGCAACAAGTACCGGAAGGTCAACGACCTGGTGTTGCGCCAGCATGATGCGTCCAGTGTACCATGCGCCTGAAGGCCATGGTATTTGCAAGGTCCTGGATGGGAAATCCGTAACTTGCGCAACGCCGGTCCAAGAGCCAGCCCAAGCGGAGCCAGTTCGTAAGGGCGCGGGCGCGCCGTAACATGTGCGCACATGGCGATTCTGCTGTTTGCCAAGAGAGCGAAGAGCAGCACTAGAAGAACGCTGCGTGATTTGTGAAAGCTGTGTTTCTGACACACAATGAATGCCCGAGCCGCATTCCAACAGTATGGCCTCCTTCCCCCGAAGGCCTGAAGGATTGGAAACTCCAATCGTCAGAAGCGGCGACTCAGGACCAGGATTGTCAGCCTCACCGAATCGAGTTGTTGCACCCAGGAGTGGCTGAAGAGCCTCGAAGAGGAAGGCAGTCGACTGCCCATCTATCACACTTCCAGTGGGCTCAACTGCGGAACCCAGAACAGACGAAGAACGATCGCCGGTCTGATGCTGCAAACCACAAGCAACCGGCAACAGGAGAAACAGCTGTAGGAGTAAGCCGAAAAAGGTGGGCAACTTGCAAACAGGCCCGGCGCTGACGGCGAAGCGACGGCCTGGGAGACCTAGTCAAGACGTGCGAGGTTTCTTGTCTGCGAACAAGGCCTGAATTTGTTCAAGCTGGCCTGCCAGCTGCGCAGACAACTGTTGAGTCATATCAGCCTGCAACTGGCCAACCGCATTGCCGACCGTCATCTCGACGTCTGAGCGCAGCCTGTGGATGTCTTGGCTTTGGCTTTGCAGCGTGTGCTGGACTCCTTGAATGGTAGTGGCTTGCTCAGACACACGATTGCCAAAAGTGGCAAACCAGCCTTCAAATTTACGGTTTTGCTCCTGGAGTTCTTTCATACCAACCTCAAGCTTTTCAAGTCTAGCCTCCTGCGCCGAACTGACTGAGTCCTGACCTGCCGACCTGGACGCAAGCTCGGTCTGCATGAGGCTTCTGAGATCCTGTTTGAGTTCGGAGCCGAGTTGTTCAAGTTTGGACGGGCCAGGCGAGGGCTGGGAACTCTTAACAAGCGAAAGCCCCGGAGGAGGAGCAAACTGTTGGCGAGCCTCGGCCCATGGATCTTGGCCATCGCTCCAGGGGTCAATGGCAGGGTCTGTTGGTCCATCATCGTACCTGATGTGTTTGATGGTACGTGAGGAGGCGTACAGGGCAGGGGGCTTGGACTTGGCATTGCCAAGGTCCTGGACTTTCGTCACAATGACATGGCTTTCGCCGAGCGGTAGGGCCAAGGCAGGCGGCTCAGAAGAGGCACCAACGATCCAAGAAGCGCCTTCTGCAGTTCCTTTGTCTGGCTGAAGTGGCTTAGCAGACCACTGCCAGTGTTGCAGGATCTTGAGTAGGGCTTGTCGTTGACAACCAAACGGCAGTGGATGAAGCTTGTATTTCGCGGAGATGCGGACTTTGACAAATGGGTGCGCAGGACGAAGCATGTTGAAGGCAATCTCTTCGTCTGTTTCTTTGACCCTCACGCCAAACCTACTTCCAAGTCGCGTCAAGGCAATGGCTTTGTCACAAGTGCGAAGCGCGTGTCGCGCCTCTTCGGCCGTGGCCCCCGGGAGCCAAACGACGGCGTAGCCGGCATGTGGGCCGGATCCATCAGCCGCCCGAGGTTCGAAGAAGAGGTCTGGGTAAGTTATCTTATGGAGATGGGGCACCGCAGTTTCTGAAACTGTCGCCCCCAAATGTCAAGCAGGAGGTGGTCAACCTGCTCTTCAACTGCTGGGTGGAATCTTGAACAACCCGAGTCCTGCTTGCAGCCCGCAACCTGACAAAGGCTCAATTCAGGCACTTGCTGTAGCAGCGCGCGGATGGGCGCTTCACAAATCCTTTCCCACCCAATGGAGCACTGGTCACGATAAAGCGAGAGTTTGATCACCACCGTGTCAAGTTGCTCTACTTCAGCAATGTCATGAGTGGTCAATTGCACGGAGGCGTCACCCAGCTGGACCAGGCTGCCTGAAATCAGTACGGCCTCCTGAGTGGGACCATAAATGGCCGGATAGCGAAGGGCAGTGACAGGCGCAGCACCGACCGCTTCAGCTGGTAGAGCTGCGGTGGTCAAGAGGCCTAGGGCATCAACACTGATGGACTTAAAGTTGTTCAGGAAAGGGGCAACCTCAGCTGGAGTGCAAAAGCAAATGCCCCGTGCCATGGGCTGCACCTCGTCCATAGCTAACTGGCAAAGTGGCTGTCCATCGTTGGAAGAGAAGCTGTCCGGGCTCATCTGCAACGTGGAAGGGTCAATGAGCAAGGGGGAACCTGACTTCTTGACACCTTTGGCCTTCGCTTTCTTGCTTTTCCCATTTGGCACAGTCGTGCCGAATTTGGCTGAAGCCTTAGCATCAATTTGAGCCTGGAGTTCATCAGTTGAAACCCATCTGAAAGCACTTCCAGGCTTGCCAGCGGCTGCCTTTAGTGCAGCCCACGGGTGCTTTGACGCCAGCGCGGTGGCAATGGGCACCACGCCAACCTTGGAACAAGCCGCATGGATGCGGGCAGCGATGTTCTCTGAGGGAACGCCCTTGGACAAAAGGGTGTCAGACAACTGCCGACTCTGGCTCTCAAAGAGCCCTCCTGCACCAGAGACAGCATACGGCAAGAACGGCACGGATTGCGCGAGCTGGTCAGCCCATCGAAAGAACTGTTCGAAGGAAGCCGATAACGGGCGCAACAGGATCGCGCAGTGAGCCAAGGCGATTTGGCCACATGTGTGGGCCACCTTTTGCGTCCCAAGCGTCACTTCAGCAAAGGACAAGCATGGCATGCCCCATGTTCTCCCGATCAGATTGGCAAGCTGCGATGCGGCCATGGCGTTGCGATGCGGAATGCCATCAAAGCACGTGGCCTGAAGACCTGCTGACTCAACTTGCAAGACCAACACAGTCCAATGATTCTGGTGCACAAAAGGCAGCAAAATGCCCAAGCAGCGAAAGGACCACGGGACTGGCGGCAACAAGTGAACGGCTGGAAAACCCTTCACCAGCTCTGAAGACACCACTGGCGGCACAATCTCGTAATTGGCTGAGGCTATGCGTTGAAGAAGCTGAAGCCCCCAAGTGAAAGTAGTATCCGTCATTCCGACTGGACAAGCTGGCGGAGTGGCAAGGTCTCCCTGATGTGTGGCGCCATGATTCATCAAATCACGCGGTTCCCCAGAATCATATTCGTGGGAAAGATGCGGAACAGCAAACATGGCGTTCCCTCGACGTTCGGTTGACTACAGCTTCACCACTGGAAGGGGTCGAGCCCAAAGCTTAAAGAATATCCATAAATATCATATTCTCAACTTTCATACTCCTAAAGACTAATCCTTGAATACCCCCAAAAAGGTAGAAGCATTGACTGAGACCCCGGACGCCTGGGGCCTAGGTCCCTTTCTGGAAGGAGAACGCCTGGTTCTCCAGGGAGATGTCCGCGCCCTTGAAGTGTGGGTTTCTGGGGTTTAGGGTTTAGGTTTAGGGTTCAGGGTTTCTGTGGTTTCAAATCCTGGGATTTTTTTTTTGAAGTTTCAGGGTGTGCACTTTACAGATCTTTGGCTACGGGTTTTGTGGTTGTAGGGCTCACCCTCTGATAGGGTTCAAGTCTGCAAGGGAACCTTTTCAGAGGGCTTGCCGCTTCCGCAATTTAGGTCCAGGGTTGAGGGCTTCAGGGTTTGGGTCTCTGGGCTAAGTCGCCCAAACTTCGCCCAAACTCTTCCAATCCACGGCACACCGGCCGCCCACCCACGCCGAGTGCCCAGGCCGAAGATCATTCATCTCCTGGTGCCGCGACCCTGGGTGTGACAGTTTGGGTGCCTATGATTTGGGTAGTCCAAAAAGCGCGAAGTCTGAAGCACCATGGCCTAAACTGCCTTTTTGGGAAGCTTGATGCCAACCACCTTCGAGCCTCCTTGCCCTTGGAATACTTGCAGAGGGTTTGGCTGAGAAGAGCAAGCTTTGTCAGGGAAAGCTCGCGCATCTGAGCCCCAAGCCTTCGAGGTTCGGGTTCAACACGCTTTAGGAGTAGGGTTCCGGCAGCTTCTTCGAAGCTCCCGGACCCTGAAACCCCAAAGCCTAAAGCACCAGGTACCTTTGGCCGCCTAACAGACTGAACTCTCTTCCGCCAGAAGCATTTGTCTAAACTCAGTACAACCCCTAAACCCTAAACCCTAAACCCTAAACCCTAAACCCTAAACCCTAAACCCTAAACCCTAAACCCTAAACCCGAAACCCTAAACCCTAAACCCTAAACCCTAAACCCTAAACCCTCCAACAGACCTGGAGACATCCCAGGTCCAAGATCGACAAGGCCGCAGAGGCAGCAGCGAAAGAGCAGGCCAGGCAACAGCACCCCCCCCCCCCCCAAAAAAGCAAACCTATGATTATATCATCATCATCATTATTATTAATTATTATTATTAAATATTATTATTATTAATTATTATTATTTGTTATTATTATGATTAATATTATTCTTATTGTTGTTATTACTATTGTTATTGCTATTATCATTATTATTATTAAGTCTTAAGCCCATCCTCTGAGCCCTCTGAACTCTTCAGCCCCACATCCGCATCGGAGCAAGTCTTAAGCCGGGGGGAGTCCGCTCGACAGGTTATCGGGGCCTCGGACGTCATACCTCTTGGGGGCTTAGACAGCAGTAGGAGGCAGAGTCCTTGGTCGTAGTGGAGAGGCTCGGGGGCGGGGGGGCCTTGAGGAAGGGTGAGGGAAAGGCTGTTCGAAATACGTCTGAGCTTTCCAGGGCCCTCACCCTTTCACTCTTGGGGCTCAAGTATGCTTAGAAAATCGTCTGCCGCATTGGTGCCGTGGACCTGCTAGGAAACGGTTTCATCTCACCTGTCACACAGCTTGAAACCCTCAAAGGCGTGCAGCAGAGGCAGAGCTTGAGTGTGTGTGGATCTTGGCTCCAAGCAACTCTCCCAAGCTGCAGCAAGCTAAGCTAGAGCCTGTCACCTTCACTCCCGAACGCTCAACACCAGAGATTCTGAATTCTCAGCTCCTAAGCTCCCAAACCCGGGTTTCTACGCCTCCAGTGCTTCCCGCAAAGCTGATTGAAAAAAAACCGAAGACCCTTCGCCCGACACCTCGAGGAGGAAGCCGCTGCGCCGAGCAAGGCCACCAGCCAGAAACCCCCGCAGAAGTGCGTGGGAACCTGTTTTCAGGATGCATCAGGGGATTCAGGGCCTTAGGGCGCAGGCTCCAGGAGCGGGCATCTAAGTTTAAGACGCTGCATGGAGTTTTGAGGGTAGGGTTTTGGGTTTGGGGTGTTGATTTGGGTGGTCCTTGCGTAGGAGAGGATTTAGAGCTTGAGGGTTGTCAAGTGTGCTGAAGTGTGGTGGAGGTTAGCTCCTGAACCTCCCAAACACCCCGCGACATGTGCATGGGGGTTTGACAGGATTGAATCAGCGCCGGGATGCTCCGCGGCCGAATCGCGAAGCGCGAAGCGAGTGACTTTTCAGAGGTGAATCACAAACTTCAGCGTTTTCGCCAACAAACAGGGGCCCTCTACTTTTGGCAGGGGACCCCCCTCCCCTCATAGAAACGCCAGCATTCGTGTGCAAAGTGAGCTTCGCGATGCTCTCAAAATCGTTTCTTTCAGACTGCTGTCAAATTTTTAGACTTTCGGACTCGTGCCGCTCGAGCTTTCAAACTGTGAATCTCCAAAACGCTCAAAGTATCTGACTTTTTTTGAGCTCGAGCGACCTTAAGCTACAAAGTTTGAAGCTTCAAGCTTTTTCACTCACAGGCTCTCAAGCTTTCAAACTCCTGACCTTCTCGAAGTCCAGACCCTCGACCATTCTTCGAACTCGAGAAATGCTCGAACTCCACACGCAACAGCCTTGAAACTCTCGAGCTCGAAAGCCGGTCCCGCCGTGTTTGCTTTTATGCACGTGTGGTTGATCTAAGAGTCTTCGAACTTTCAGTTTCCATACCAACGCATGGACGTCTCTGGTGCTTGGCGAGTCAGTGGTTCTCTGAGGTTTCAAGACTTTGGAGGTCTCGCGTGCGGGGTCCGGGGAATCACTGCAGGCCTCGCCTCAAACTGCAGGCCTCGCCTCAAACTTTTGAATTCGAAATTCCTGTTCGAGCTTTCAAAATCCCAAACTTCCGAACTCCATGGCGTCGGTCTCTGCATTCTTCAACGTCTTTCGCCTCCCTGAACCTCGCACGCTCCCAAAAGCCCCCGAGAACTGGAAGCCGCATCCGGAAGCCTAGATTGACCTCCCGCCCTCCCTCCCCTGCCCCCCCCCTTCTCCCCCCTCTGAAAGGCAACTCCGACTTCTCAGAAGCTGCAGGCTCCAGCTCCGTTGTACCTGGGTCTTCACGTTCGGGGGACCTTTCCCATATTCTGGGCTTCCTGAAAGCTTTTACGCTGGTTTTTGGGATTTCTGCTGCGGTAGGAAGGCGCGGAGTTTCTTTGGAGTCTGGAGGTGCTGGGCAGCGTACCCAATGCATCTGTGACCACGGAAGAATGCCGTGGACCTGCATTGTTAGCAGGGAGCATGCCTGCATGCCACCGGGAATTCCAGGGGCCGAACGGAAGGAGGATGGCAGCGACGTGTCGCAGCAATAAAAGCACCTGCTTAGTACTCGTAAACCTCGCAAACTTGTCAATTCTCCGTCCATACGAGCAGTGTAAACCGACGCCGTCCTCTTCTCCTCAACTCAAAGTCCTGCACACGAGGTTCTACATGCCTGCTGCCCGAAGGCCATCGGAAAAAGGCTTCCTTAATACTCAAACCTAGATGACCCGATCCGTACCCAGGGAACACTGAAACCTAGCTGGCCAGACCCTCAACCAGGGCACGCCCGCCTACTCAGACGCGGGCACCGAAGTTCCTTCGCCCACGTCAGTGCGGGAGGAGGCTGGCTGGGTGGCTTTGTAAAGTACGCGAAGCTGTACACCGTGTTGGTTGTTTTGGGGTTTGGTGAGCCCTGCACAGCCCTCGTTGTCCTTTCTTCTGCAGCCGCAATCCTAAGTCGCAAAACCCCCGACTCAAAAGCCGCAAGCCCAACCTCTTCGAACCCTGAGGTGCCGGCGATGCCTCCGCCTCGCGACCACCTGAGTCACGAGCTTGGGGCGACACCCTAAAACCCAAAGCCCAAAAGCCGCTTTCAAAGCTGGGGTTTTTGTGTTTCCAGGCCTTGAGTGCAGGGCTTCGTCAATGTGAGAAGATCCTTTTGGCATGTGGAGTTGGGGCAAGAATGAAGCAATGCATATATCCAAAACAAAAACAACATTCTCATCTTGAGAGAATCTGGTAAAGAGCCTGAACCTCTGGGCTTGGCTACCTCCGATAAATACCCAAGCCCATGCCCATGCTCATGGATGCATAGGATTCTCGACTGCGACAATAGACTTCTACGTAAACGTCATGTCCACAAGGTTTAACGCAATTCGTGCCACAACTCTGCTTGTTGCGAATTTCATCTGTTTAATCTGCGGCGGAGGCAGCATGGACTCTTCTGGAGGTTTAAAGTTTAGGGTTTAGGGTTTAGTGTCTGCAGCGAGTCCATGAAGGTATTGGTACTTCTCAGCTGGCCAGTTGCTCCCACAAGTAGCGGGTATTTCATCTCCTGCCGCTACTTCTCAAGGCCCTCCAAACTCAGGGCTCAAGCCCCGCCGCCCCAACCCAACCCCTGAAAGTTCTGAAGCTCAAGCCACCCTAAACCTGCAACCCAACCATGATCCTAACCTCTGAAGCCTCGCCCCCAAACACTGACGTGCAGAGGTGACTACGGCTACTCGCCATCGATTCCGGTCGGTGAGGTACCCCGCCGAAGTATCTGGGGTCGTCATAGTGAACTC